AATGTCGAGCACTGGGCCCACAACAAAGCCTTTCTGACTCATGCACCATGCAACCTTTCCAGCTCCTCCAAAAACTTCGACAAAATCAAATGAGAAGAGGGGAGGCTTTTCAATGGAGGTCTTGTCTCTAAAGAAACCCTCATGGCCCCCAAAGACTTCAGCCCCACCGCCGCAATCTGGTTCAGCCTCATCACCCTCTGCGTCCTCCTCTGAAAATTCGCCAACTGCACGCAAGGCTGCTCGAAAACCATTCTCCAGCTGGGTGTAACTACCCTTTCTATCTCCTTCAAGCCACAACCTGTCTGCAACACCCTGAGGCAAAGGTGACCTACAAATTGCTCCCTTCTGCAAGGATGCATCAGTTGCAAATACCTCTGGCAAAACAGGTGCTGAGATGTCTGAAGCAATGAAAGGTGCTACAGCTGCCAGCATCGCAAGCTCCTCTGCGGAAGTTCTTGGCAAATGAAAAACTTTCTCCTCTCCATTATCGGTTGATGCTAAAGCAAAGAACTCCCTGACAATGGCTGAAAAACATCTCCTGTAAAGAAGCACTGACACCCAAGAGCCTGAAAGCCGACTGGCAAGCTTTGACGAAATGGCTGGAAGCTGGGCTGCACGTAAGGAAAGCAAGGAAAGCCCAAGCCTCTTTGAAAGTGGAGCTCCAACCAAGCAAAGCCCTGATGTGACAAGGCTGTCCCTTGAATCAACCTCAGCGCCCGCTGCTTTGAAGAGATCTTCAGCAACCACATCCTTCTCAGGGGAGCCCGGAAGTCCATGACGGGCATAGGCCTCTCTGGCGTATGCCAAATGTAGAAAAACTGAAGTGCTCTCCCTGGGTTGGCAACGCCCCGCGGATCCAATGACAAAATAATCGTCAATGATCAAGCCTTCCCACAAAGGAGGCAGAGGGAGAGGTGCGTGGCCCCTGATGCGACTCGCCTCATTGAGCAGGCCTTCACGGACCAAGAGGTTCTGATGGGCCTCAAGAGCAAACTCGACACCCAAATGGTCGCCTTGAAAAAGTGCAGCAAAACTTGGGAACAAAAACTCTCCATGAGCGTCGCATCTATCTGCCATGAGACCCTCCTTCTCAAAATGGTCACCAGTCTCCTCCCGGGGACGCCTTCTCCGCACAGACTTCGCTGAAACAAAATCAGCCAAAGCAGACAGGCCTGAAAGCTCCTCTTTGGAATAGGAGAAAGGCACCATGTTGCTTCTGCTCCTCTCTCTGCTGACCTCCGCCTGGTGGTAAAAATCTCTCCTGTCTGTCAAACTCCCCAAGAGCTTCTGACCTCTCCTCAACAGGAACCCCAAAAGATGAGGGCCTGTGGGCAAATGACGAGAGGGCCCACCTGCAGAAAATTCGCGGGCATTCGGGATACGTCGATCCCCAATCTGCCTGTCAAACTGCTCTGACTTAAAGGTGTTGAAGACTTTGCAGAAATGACCCTCCAAAACTGGCTCCTCATGCAAATGCAGCAAACCAAGTTCATCCCATCTCTTCGCTAGCTTCAGATACTCTGACCGATCCTCACTTTCAAAAGAAGGCAAAGAAAAATGGGAAACATCGCAACCATGCAAAAGTGAGCGTGGCTCAACATAGGCCAGCCAGAGGTCACTCTCCAAATAATCTCCAAGGGGCCACTTGCCTTGCCCAGTGATCTTCAGCCTGTCAACATCTAGGGATCTGTACGGCTGAAGCTGTGGGTGCTCCCTCTTCTGTCTCTTTTGAACAGCTGCATCACCACTGCCCAAAACCTTCTCACTCGCACCATAACCAAAAGCAGAAAGGCCCGATGCTTCGATGAACCTCTCAAGCTTGTCCAGGCATGCAATCAATTCAGGACCGGAGCGCCCAGGAGCCACAGGAAACTCTTCTGAGCGCGAGCCACACGCCGTGGCAAAGGTAAACAACCTTTGCAAGCAACGCCTCTGTTCAGGAGACGGCTGCCTCCCAAGCTCTTCAACTGTAGGAAAGCGACCCAAGAAGAGGTAGTCCAAGATGATCACCAAAACATGGACAAGGCGCTTCTTGGCTAAAGTTGATAGCCGCTTTCTGCTGAGCCCGGGGCCACTACCTGTAAAAATGCCAGGGTAGGGCACAGGAAGTGGAAGCACGGCGGTAGAAGTAAGTGAACTTCGCCACTTGATAGAAAAAGACCTCCTCAGATGCCAAGCAAAACTGGTTCTTGTCTTCAGCACCCACCGAGGCATGCAAATGGACCATGTGAGAAAACTTGAAGTTTCTGCCAAAAACTTTTCTGCAAAGCCATCATCAAAACCTTTGATCAGCCTGTCTCCTCCTCCTCTGCTTGCGGGCTGTTCTGACCCTTTCGCTTTCCTTTCCCTTTTGCCTTTGCTTTTGGGCTGACCTGACCCTGACTGCCTGTCGCTGTTGAATCCTTTTGGCCCCCCAACAACTCCGTCCTCTTTGATGTGATCGTGTCGAGCTCCTTCAGAAACGCTATGGCTGTTGTGATCCATCTTTGATCTGACAAAGGCGCGAAAGACCGTGCCCTTGAAGTCTGAGCCAGCTGCCTGTTCGTGAACACCCCTGAAGGCACATCCTCCTGGAGCGTCAAAATCTGAGCTACCTCGAAGCGCCCTGAATCCAGCACCGCCTGCTCGATCATCACCGCTAAAAGAGCTGTTGTATCCTTTGCAGCCGACCAGTTTTCGACCATCATGAAATCTATTATGGTCATCACCTGGTACATGATCAGCCCCAGCTCCCTTTGACGTCCATAACCCCCAAAGCGCTCCAGGTATCTCGTCCCGCAAACTCCACTTGCCATGAGCTCCTGGGGCGACCTCTCTGCTGATGAAGTTGGGGCCATCCTCCTGGACATTGACCTCAAACAGGCCCTTTTGCTGGGCTAGCTCTGCCTGAAGCCTCGACCTCCCTGCAGAACCTCTCACTCCTGCTCCTCCTGCTGTCTGCAGATCTGTCATTGGGTCTGATGAGGAGCTGGCGAGCTGGGCCACCAACGTCGTGATGGCTGTTGACTGCGCCATACGGGCCAAATCCGGCCCTGTTGGCGACACTTTCTCTGCCTCCAATTCCAAAACCTCCTCTGGAGCATCGCTTCCTCTTGAAACCAGCGGTGCCCTTATATTTGTCTTTGGGGGAGGCTGCAAGGTGTGTGCGATTGACGCCAAAGTCTTTGGTACTGCCGGTACCTGGGATGATAAAGGCTGGGCCAAACTCCTCGAAACAGACGGCACGGCAAGAACCTGGCTCTCCAAGCTGGCTTGGCGCTCTGCTAACCTCGTCATCGCCGTTGTCAGCTCGGGAAGGGTCTGAAGCACTGAATCCAGAGAAGCCTGCAAGCTGGCCGTGGTAGGCCTCTTTGCTTTTGGAGTGCCACTGTCTGTATCGGTACCCCCATTTGGAGCTCGACGCCTTGGCGGCCTTTTTGGAGGGGTTTGCATCTCCCTCGCCGCAGCCCCTTCTGCAGAATACCAACCTTCTGAAAGCTCCTGGTCCTGCACCACCATAGCATGAGCCCACTCTCGAGCTGCATTCAAAAGGCCCCTTGACTCTGGTGTTGCAAAAGGATCCTCTGCTGAAAAAGTCGCTGCTAACTCCTCCACTTCTGCTGGCAGTCTGAACTGCTGCGCTACGCTCAGCTCTAAATCCACCAGCAAAACATCTAGGCTTGCACCTATTGGGCTCTCTCCAGTGTCCTCGTCCAAAACTCCTGGGACTGTGACCTGCGTGGATGGCCCTACCAGACCAACAGTGCTGCCCTGCGCCTCTGCCAACACTTCGGCAGGCAAGAAACCCACAGGCAACGCAACAAGGAGCCTTCCCCGCTCTCTTCATAACCACGTAAGCCACAGCCTCTGCATGGCCATCTTCGTCTCCACCAATGGCCCACTCCAGAATGTACTTGACCTTCTGCTGATCCAAAGGTACCAAGGCCTCGTACTCCAACTCTGCCATATCTACGCTCATCACTGCACACTAGGGAACTCAACCTCTGCGCCTTCACAATATGCCCTTGCCTCCGTCTCGGAGGGGAATGAATGTGAGAGTGAAGAGGAATTTCGCAAATCCCCCACAATCCCGTGGTACGCTGCTGAGGTGGTGACCACAGTGGGAGTAGAGATGCTGTCGGCCCGCAGGATAACGTAAAACCTGGGGCGCAATGGCAACTGCTCTGACCTGTTGGGTGAGCCCACTCGGCCTGACAAGACTGCTCTTGCCCACTGACCAGCACGGTAGGCCCTACGAATCCTCCTCTCTGATGATTCCACTGTGCCAGCCAAACGAGAGGTAGAATCAAGCAGATAGCCAGGGCAAGAAGACCTGAAAGAAGCCTCGATCTCTGCCCTTGTCTCAGGCCTGCTCCTCCTCCCGCTCCCACCTTCGGAACCCAGTACAGAGAAGGAAGCTGGTGTGCCAGCCTCTGACTGGGCTTGAGATGCCTCTGTGATCTCAGTGACAAAGCGAGTAGCTTGTGCAGCAGGCCCTGACACGGAGATTTGCAGCCCCCTAAGTCTGATGCTGATGTCAACGACGTCGTGATCTGAGGAGGGGCTGCTCATGCAAATAGCCAGCTAGTCTGCTGCTGGCTACCACAGAAACCGTGGGATTTGGTGGTTCTGCTGATGCAGATGAAGATATGGGATGTAGCAACCAAAAGACAGTGAAGATCCCAGAAATCCAGCCAAGCAGGAACAACAGGAAAAAGGTTGACAGGGGAAACTGGCCACAGTAAACCGGACAACCCAATCCCCAAAAGTTTGTTTTTGCACCCTGCACAGCGAAACCAAAAAGCGAAATCACTCGGTCCATCCACTATGCTTGAGTTTGAAACGACATCACATGCTGCTTAAAAACATTCGGAAACGGAAGCCGTGAAATTGGGAAACTTTCGAGATACAACCACAGAACGCTAATGTGAATTTTCCACCATCCGCTGAGCTCTGCAATGGTGATCCCTCATGAAGAACAGTTGAAGTTAAGATCCTGTTCCATATATTGGCCAGAGGGGGTGGCAATTTTGATCCCTAATGAAAATAAGTGCAAGTTAAGATGTTATTCAATACATTGGCCAGAGAAGGTGGCAGTATTGCTCCCTTATGAAAAAAGTTTTGGTTACTATTCCCATCAATGTATTGCTCAAAGGGGGTGGCGGTTTTGATACCTCATGAAGATAAGTTGAAGTTCAGATCCTGTTCCAGAGGGGGTGGCATTCTGGATCCCTTAAAAATTAAACAGACTATATCCACCAATGTATTGCTCAGAGGGGGTGGCAGTTTTGATCTCTCATGAAGATAGCATGGAGTTAAAATTCTATTCAATATCTTGGCCAGAGGGGGTGGCTGTTTTGATCCCTCATGAAGATAAGTTGAAGTTAAGATCCTATTCAATGCATTGGCCAGAGAAGGTGACCGTTTTGATCTCCTTTTTTCAATAAGTTTAGGTTTAGGTTACTATGTCCATCAATGTATTGCCCAGAGAGGGTGGCAGTTTTGATCCCTCATGCAGATAAGTTGAAGTTAAGATCATGTTCCATATATTGGTTAGAGGGGGTGGTTGTTTTCATCCTGAATGAAGATAAGTTCAAGTTAAGATCCTATTCAATATATTGGCCAGAGGGAGTGGCAGTTTAGATCCCTTAAACTTCAACGGACTACACCCATCCATGTATTTCTCAGAGGGGTGGCAGTGATATCCCCATGAAATAACCCTAAAAATCGCCTATAAACTGATTGACATTTATATACCCATTATAGCCTAAAGGGAATAAGTGACACCCAGAAATATCCCCATAGGACTGTATCTCCCCATGATTCCCCTTGGGTTTTAACCAACGGTGCCCCGGATCAACTCCTCCATGGTGTGCTTCGTGGTGGCCCGGATCAGCCAGCCGTCTTCTTCATGGATGAGCTCGTACCTGAGGGAAAAATGAAGTGCCAACGAAGCACCAGATGGGGATGAAACTTGTGATATGGGGATTGAACTCAAGAAAAAGAAGATTTTGTTTCATACACTCCAACAGATGGCCTGCTAGTACGTAAGTAGAAAAATTAGGGATTTCACTAGCAATAGTTTGGTTTTCAGGAACAAAGAAAAATCACACGGTGGGGGGGTCCAACCGAAATGAATGGGGGTTGACATTGACCGACCAACTTTTGGCAACATGTTTTTTCCATTCAAGTGCAGGCTTAAGCAACAACCAACCAACATACCACTGGGTATTTAACAGTTCGCCATGGAAAATCACCATATTTAATAGGTAAACATAGGTAAACCATCTATAAATGGACCATTTTCCATGGCTATGTTAAATAACCAGATGGTAATTGCGGCAGAATAATTGTACTGATTGAAACCCATGTTTCTCGACCCCAAATTTCCAAACAAAACAAACCCGAATTTGCCCTTTCGTCTTTTTTTCTGTGCGAGGTGCTAGTTTTTCGCCGCTGAAAGTCATGGGAAAGTCAAGGCAATAATAGGTCATGAAACCACACGAAAAGTTTGAAGATGAAAGCTTCACCCAAGACTTCTAACAGCTGAAACCTCACCATGATTTAAAACATCATTTTAAAGCCAGAATTAAATTAATCTTGGAGGTGTCCGTCCCACTAAAACATTATTCTCCGAGGTTTGGGAATCCCAACATCCAACAGGACACAAAAGATATACAAGAATATCCCAACCCTTGCCTGCAACATGGGAATGTATAAAGTTTCATTGCAAATCCATTGAACAAAGATGAAATCTCAGTGTTTCAGCTCGAAATTCCCTTTGAAATCCAACCAAAAATCCATTGCAAATCCACGCAAAGTCATCCAACCCATGGGGTCCCACCGCTGCTTTTCGGAGTTGGAGCTTTCTACCACTTCTAAGAGATCCTGCGGGACAGAGGACTCAGAGGACCTGATGGAATTCAACATCTGCTGGAAAAAGGAGCTTCGAGGATTTCCTTTTTGGGACCCATTCGATCTTCCAGTAGCAAACTCTTTTCCAACAGATGAGTTTGCTCCACAAAAAAGGGGCCCAGCGTTAAGTCTCCTCTGCTTGCACATTGCCAAAGAGATCTCGAATCGCCAGAAGTTCATTCACTGAGACGAAGCCTGTGTCCGCTGGGCATGGACACCAGTGAGGTCGCAGATGGGCCGGTTTGGTACATAAAAATCATAGTAGCCTCAGAAAGATACAAAGGCGAATTATCACTGGTTTAGTAGGATGCGAATCTGATCTGGGTTACCATACATTTACCCAGAAAGGTTCTTGACAAAATGGGGGTTTCCTTCATGAATTACAGTAACCAGTGGTGCATTTGTAGCAGACACTTGGCAAATCGACCAAGAAACAATTTCGGGCGCCAAAACTTCACTCGCTTCAAAAAACATGCAGCGGAATCAGCAGCGCAGCTTTTCTCGGCTTTTTTTTTCCATTCAAGGAAACTACCCTCTGGTAATGACTAACAGTTTGCTATTGAAAATCACCATAGAAATAGTGAATTTTCCCATAAAAAATGGGTGGATCTTTCCACTTCGCAAACTGTTCGTCATTACCAGAGGCTAAAATCAGACCCATCCCACCATAGATTTCCGGATCCGGTCAGTAAAATCGATGTTAACTGACTCAATGATGGGGGCCATGCGTATCCCACAAAAAATGCCCATTTCGAAATTCATTTCTTAATGATTATAGCGCTATAAATCCAATCTTTTACCCATGTTTCATTTGACCATCGTAGTCGTTGTTAGTCGTTGTTGGCAGGCGATCGCGGCGATCGCTACGCCCCACCTCCATTGGTTATGCTGAGGTCTAACTGTTTGGCGCCGTGGCGCAAAACATAAGACCTCGGCGAAGGATAGGAAGAATTAGACCACAAGAGGCCATGAAACAACGATTTTACTGTGAAGAATGGGATGGATTTAACGAAAAACATGGTGATTGAAGCATAATAAATTGTGAATTTACCCAACAACTTGGATTTTACCATCATGGGATTTAAGCATCATTAATTTGGATTTCTAGACTATGTAACATTGGGATTTTGCCAATCTTGGCCCTCAAAATGAATAGATCTAGTATTAAACCAAGGGATCTGGGGATGTATATAAAAAAATAGGGATTGTAGCAATACACAGTTCCTTACCACTTGCCAGGATCGTCATCGAAGTACCCTCTGTCGATCTAAGTTGGAAATGAGAAATGTTCAAGTTGTGTTTGGGAATGATCAAGGATCTGACAAATGAACAGTCGACTGCTCCATGATGGGAATGCTCAGATAGATGATCATCCTAGGAATCAGAAGGTATCGGTAGTCAGGTTTGTAGTCCCATGTTTAGGGAGTACCGCAGTCTGGGAAGTCAACCATGTTTTTTGTCGTTAGCTGCACCTAGTAGCAATTCCTCGCATAGCCCAAATACATAGTTTACAGTGCTACAAAACGACCGCCTCATGGTCAGAATGGTCCGCAAATCGTTGGGAATTCGGAATGTCCGGAAAGATTCTTATCACTCTGGGACTCTGGGTGGGTGGATCAACTGGGTGCATGGTGCACAGCAAAAGTGTCATGTCCTCGGTCCTCGATGACTTGCCATGATACCCAGCTACCAGAGGATGCTGGGAAGCCACAGGAAACCATGGGGCTCCCGACAGTTTTTTGCTCAGAACCGTGCGAGCATCGTCAGTCTCCCTATGCAAGTGGGAATGACGTTCAAATGCATGGGGAACGTTCAAACCTGGGAATGTTGTTTTGAATCAGTTTTTTATACTACATAATACATATTATGTTATATATATACATACACATATATTTCACATATATACATACATACATGTATACATATATACATATATACATATATACATATATATATACATATAGACATATAGACATATAGACATATATACATATATACATATATACATATATACATATATACATATATACATATATACATATATACATATATACATATACATATATACATCTATACATATATATATACATATATACATTTATACATATATACATATATACATATATACATATACACATATACACATATAGACATATAGACGTATATACATATATACGTATATACGTATATACCTATATACAAATATACATATATATATACATTTATACATATATACATATATACATATGTACATATGTACGTATGTACGTATGTACATATGTACGTATGTACGTATGTAGGTATGCAGGTATGTAGGTATGTAGGTATGTAGGTAGGTATGTATGTACGTACGTACGTATGTACGTATGTACGTATGTACGTATGTACGTATGTAGGTATGTAGGTATGTAGGTATGTAGGTATGTAGGTAGGTATGTATGTACGTACGTACGTATGTACGTATGTACCTATGTACGTATGTACGTATGTACGTATGTAAGTATGTACATATGAATGTATGTATGTATGTATGTATGTATCTATCTATCTATCTATCTATGTATCTATGTATCTATGTATCTATCTATCTATGTATATATGTATCTATGTATCTATGTATCTATGTATCTATGTATCTATGTATCTATGTATCTATGTATCTATGTATCTATGTATCTATGTATCTATGTATCTATGTAGCTACGGCCCAAAGGGTGGTTGTTTTTGACCCACTAAATCACAATTGTTGTCGTATTGAACGACTAGATCCATCTTCCTTGTTGATGGTTCCATCGCCAGTGTATCCCTTTGGTGTGTCAAATGCCGGTTTTTCCCAATGTCTCGGTCGATTGAAATCCATCTTTGACAAAACCCCATGTGTGGATATGTCTAGTTAGTAAAGTCCCAACGTTTGAAGGGTCAAATCATGTCAAATCCTGAAATATGTGCTATTATTTGATTGGTGAAATCAGTGAAATCCACATTTTTTGCTGCTCACATGTCAAATCATTCTCATCGCCACTTTTTTCCGCATCAAAAGGCACCCAACGCGCAAACGCCTGACGCGCATCTTCTCGAGCATCTCGGCCAGGACGGGTGCCGACATCTTTGACCTCAGACTTCGGGAAAAAAAAAACACCAACAATTCCAACGGGTTTCACTAAAAATGGGGTACCCCAAAATCCTATAATTTAACATCACGTTCCCCATTCAAAATTGCTGGTTTGGGGGTATCGCCATTTTCAATCAAACGCAAATTCGGAAAATTAGGATTCCCGCCAAAAAAAATCAGGAGCGGAGTTCGGTTAAGAGTTCAGCCACCACAAATGCAACGGAAAAAAAATATAGTTCAAACTGAGTCAAACGGAAAAACATGGATTTTGACAAACAAAATGGTGATTTGACCGACCTGAATCAGAGAATACACTCAAATAAATATAAATATAAATATAAATATAAATATAAATATAAATATAAATATATATAAATATAAATATAAATATAAATATAAAGGTTTTACCAACCAAACAATGGCGGCTGAACCATCACACAACAAAAGGATGTAACCCAACACTTCCATTTTACCAGGCATCAATCTGGAACTGAAAATTGTTGTGATTGGAACGACCACCACTTCCGGTTGTCCAAAGGGACACAATCACATGGGATCAAATATACACATAGTTACCCGAAACCAAAACATAGAACTATGAAATTTACATCCCGACGAAGAACAATTTCGATGAGTTTCGCACTAAGCATCACCTGACAGAAGAAAACACATGTTGTTCGCTTACTCGGTTTCACAAATGTTTATTCGTGATTGCTGCGCCAAAATTGTCAAAGTGTTTGTGGTATAGTGAGGCCAATGTTTATGTTGACAAAAATCATGCTATATTTCTCAAATATGGGGTTCATCAAAAAGTTCGTTCGATGCACACAGCAAACTGTGACAATGATATTTTTGATGGAATTGTTTCATCCGCACAAACATTCTGAGCCAAAGTAGCATGAGCGAAACATTGATAAGTCGCTCACATCGGTTCAAAAATTTGTTAAACCCATTGATTTGGGTTGCAATAGCCAAAGCAATGTGGGGCGACAACTTGGATCAAATGAAATATCAAGGATCCCAAAAAATGTCGCATCATCACAAGACCACTCAGATAGTGAGACAATATGTTTTTTGTAATCGTCGCAGTTTCCATTTTCGAAACTCCAAAACGATTAGGAATGGCCCATGTATTTTCATTCCCCAGATAGCGTGCCATGAATTGAGACTTCAAATCTCAAAATCCGCAGACTGATCTTTGACTGTTTGTCCATGGCCACGCAACAAATTTCAGAATTTTCCTTGAAACAAAAACGCCTTAGATACGAGCAAATCTGTAAAACTGCGCATCGTTGTGAAATCGAATGACATCTGCAAATTCAAAAAAGGTGCCGATTTTTTTGGGGATTTTTTTTCGGGGGGAATTCTTTTTGTTTTTCAGTCTGGGGCACTGTTCCTTGCTATTTGCTACATTTTGGAACAAAAGCCTGTACTTTGCCGAATTTTGAAGCTAAAATGTTCCATTTTCACTGTTCATTGATTTTTCCGTGGTTTTAGCCAGTTTTTCCATGGTGTTCATTGATTTACCCAAAGCGTTCATCGGTTTTTCCATTGTTTTCATTAAGTTTTCCATGGTTTCAATTGATTTTTCCATGGTTTCGATCAATTTTTCCATGCATAACATGCACTTGGTGAACATGTACAATATAGGTTGAAACACAACCGTGTTCATTCTAAATAGCGGCATTGGATGCTCATAGTGTTGGTTGGTTTAGGGTTTATGGGTTGGTTTAGGGTTTATTTAGGGTTGGTTTTGGGTTTATTTAGGGTTATTTTAGGGTTCGTTTATGCGAATCAATCCGGAGCAACGCGCACTTTTTTCTAAACCAAAAAGGCCTCACATGAAATCCTTGACAACATGTTCGTGTCAAGCTGTGAAATGACTGAGTGATCTGAAGGTTCTTGCTTAGTGCGTGTCATCCAGAATAATGAGTAAGCTGCATAATGTTTTGTACTCCGCCTCTGAAATGTGAGCTGGTCTTCATTTCAGCCCTTTCATCCACCTCCAACGTTTTTTCCAGAAACTTTTGTCTGCTCGAACATTTTGGTAAACCTTTGAAACTTTTCACATCAGATTCGTCATGTTTTGAACATACGTCTGAAAACGCCCAGCTCGTTGGTCTGAGCCCCTGTTTCGATGCCATCTGTAAAGTCGCTGGAACACATTGCGGATTGTTGAAACAACCTCCATTGACATGCCTTCTGGTGATGGTCCTGTTGTAGCTTCAAGGAGGCATATGATCGCCTGCTGAATCTGGCTGGCCTCCGTCCATCTCTCACCAGAAAAGGCCAAGGTTTGGTCAACCCTCATGTTGTCCAGCAAGGTAGACATACTACCAGGGGATGCATTTGGCGCCTGTCACCTCATCATCAGTTGGTACCTCCCCTTCTGCACTTTCTGAAATCTCTCTGAAACGCTCGGGAATTGTCACTGCATCTGTTGTCTCAGCACGTGTGTGTTCTTTGAGACCAAATCAAGAAATTTGTTCTTTCTTGAGTCAGCATACTTTGTCGTTGATCTCGGCTGAGAATGTTGAAACGCACGAAGCCACCTATTTCCATGAGGCCATATCGTACTGCCTCCACATGTGATTCCAAAAAGAAAATGCCCTCGAGGCAATCTTCTTCCAAAACCGCCAGTCAACTGCCAATCCATCTACGGCTTCATCACGGACATCTGCTCTACCATCGTGCGCATCCAACCTTGTGCCAAGATCAGCATCATATTCATAGTGATGTGCTAACTGCTGCTCTGCATAGCCCATGCTTCTGTCCAGTTGATTCACCTTTCCTTCCAGAATTGCAACCCTTCTCATCACAAATTTCCAGCCTTGCAAAACCACAAGCATGAAAATCACCAACGCACACGCAAGAAAAATGAAGCTGTACCTTCCTGGCAAACTCTCCTGTGGCTCATCCTCCAATGCGCATTGTTGCGCTGAAACTCCTACTGCTCTGCATGGCTCAAGGCCGATTGCAATTGACTTAAATCTGCATCTCTAGCACCACGAAGACAACACCTCCGAGTTACAGAAAGAAATAACTTCACCAAACCATCAAAATAAAAAGTGCCGAAAAAGGACAGCTGAGAATGACTTCGCAAAACATGAAATCCGAAACGGAAAACCTGACGTCGCAAAACACTGAATCTGGAGTGAACGCACTTGTGCGCTTCCTTTTTTCTCGCACAACGCGGGGGAATCTCAGATGCATGTCAGCAGCATCTCAAGCCAGCATCTGGAGCTGTTCCAGGTTTGGCACTCAAATGTAGTCACGTCGACCCACATTTCCAAAACACATCGACATGCGCCTGCATAGGCGTTCTTTTCCATCACATCACTGTCAACTTCCCGAGTCAAGGTGTAGTCCATGGGTCGGAAATTGGCACATAGAGCGATGACGCGGCTGCATCGGTGGGAGCTGCTGTATTTGACCCACCAGTAGAGTCTTCGACAACAGGCTGTGGGTCATCGGAATTGGGCCGCATCATCAAGAAATTATGGACTGCCTCAAGGAGCAAGGCTGCGTCATCAATCATTGCTGTAGTTTCTGCATGTAAGTACACATCGAAATGTGTCCGGAACCATTGATTAAAGGTATCCAGGTTTCGAATTGCCACAGGGATGGCATCTGCATGCACCTGAAAGGAATCATCCATGACTGCGCTCAAAGGGCGCCAAGCCTGTGACAGTGCCAATGCTGTCGGCGTGGTGACAAGTTGGTTGGGAAAGAGTGTCCTTTCAAGGACGGCCATGGCACTTGTGACTGTCACCCATAAATCATAAATGGACTTCATGAAAGGTGGCTTTCCGATGTGGCAGAGCACAGTCGAGGTGGCATGGGCGATCCGTCCGTCTGTTGGATTCCCTTGGAAATATTGCATACTCACTGAAGTGGCCACCGCGAAATTCACTATATTGGAAGGTTGCATCGCGTCAAATAAGATCGGTACGTTGGCTGTCAGGCAAAAAAGCTGCAAAGAATCAGGTCATAGTCCAGTGCATTGTCATGTGGAGAGCAAGTGAGGGTTTTGTACTGGCCTGGGTGGGATTAAGGGTAGGGACAAGTTTGAAAACCTTTTTTTTTTCCTCTGGTCTGGCCGATCACGCTCTAAGGCTCGGTCCTTACATGAGACGAAGCTGTTGGTAAGAAAACTGCTACATGGACGCCGGTGGTCGCATGAAGCTTGGCAAATCATAACCAGAAAAACCTCCAACACACAAACAAACAAAAACAGGGCAAGACGCAGATCCCCCAGCCAGATTTGCGTCTTACCATTCGAAAGACAGCAAAGCAAACAGCCAACGGGGCCAGAGCCCAACAAGAAAAACCACAAAAGATTTGCCAAGGACACAGTGGTGAAGACCCACTGTGTCACAATAAAGACAAAAACATGCAGCAAACGAATTATGCCACCCAGAAACGTGAGACATGCGAACTACGTGGTTGCCAGCAAGGCAACAAGAAGTCGCGTTTACTATACACTGTAAACTAACCCAGCCTCTCAGAGTCCACTCACAAGTACTTGTTCACGTGCCCAAATTCAGAGAAAGACCAAGTACCAGATGGCGTAAACACCAGCAGGAGGACGATGACATGTATGGCCAGGTGTCTTGTGCCCCTCCCCATTGCGGGGAGCGGCCCAGTGGCGACGACAGCGCGGTCTCACGGGGCAAGGTGAGTGACCATCCGTAACCAGCCACTAAAAACTTATGCACCTCCGGGTGGATATGACTACCATGCCAAGTCAAAAAGAAGACCGTTCCAGGCACTATCAAGCGTGGTCAGCACTTGGTTGTGGCGCCTGTCGAAATGCTTGCAGCAAGTCAAGTCTCAACATCAAACAAGAATGCATTGCCTCGACGGCGCCAAACTGAAAAGTATCTGCAGAACTGTTCAGGTGCTCCCAGAGTGTCTTCGTCTCCGCAAAGTACCTGCAGTGCATTGCAACATAGCAAAAACCAAGGATCAGCCTGAAATCCAGAATACAGACC